TTTGAAAGGAAAAGTAGTATATTCACAATTTTGTTAGCTTCTAGAAAATACTGCAATAAATATGGTACCGTGAGATGCATATTGTGATAATATCGTACAGAGAAATTTGGATATTATTACATCCCTAATTAGTATGTCTATATCCCTTAAATCAAGATCAAAATACTCTGTTCCATCTTGTAATGTCATGAAGTGTAGTTTTCAAATTAACAGCCACCTTTTGTTCAATAGAGATAGGCAATTCCAGGGCTGAAATCATCCAAATGATTCTAGTGAAGGTGTATGGAGTTTAAAAACACAATGGAGCACTTCCTGTATTACCACATGAGAGAAGACCTCAGCCTAAATATGCAGGTTTTGTGTGTTAAACATGTGTGAATGAAATAAAACAGAACTCCCGGTCTGTTTTTGATGAGGAAACAAGAACAACATAGCACAGAAAATGGCATAATAAGAGCCCTTTAATTACACAATTCATGAGTTATAAACAGTCTTAAGTTTCCTCATTCACTGAAAACTCCCCGTGTGAATGTTCCCATAATGGAGTGACGCGTGGCCACGACTCGCGAGCATTTGTCACGACTGTCAGAGCTTTTGTTTTTGAAAGCCCATTTGGAAATGCCAAGCTTTTCCCCATTTATTTTGCTCCCGCCGCACGTCAGAGAAATGAATATCCAGCCCATAAGTTTTAGCCCACATCATCAGTCACGTCCCCCTCAAACGCACCTTTAATTCTTCACGTATTCTCACCGATCGTCTGTGTGTGCGGTCTAAAGAACGTGAACATGCATATACAATCATTCAGGCACTTTTTTCACCTGTTGTGTATCTGTCAAAGCCTCTGATTAAAGCTGCGCTCCATTTACACTCTACACACACCTATGTAAACAAAGTGCTGGACAAACTTTTCAGGAGGGGCCTGTCAGTCTCCATGAAAATATGAGCTCTTAGACTGGAATGTTCCACAGTGTGGCATTAAGCTCTCTATCCAGTTTCTATTAGCGGGGTTGCCTCTCCACATATATGATCTATAACTTGGTCTGGTCACTCAAGTCTCTATGAAGTTAGTTTTAATTCCAGGCAGAGTAATCACATCTCCATGGAGACAAGCAGGTGGCAAACCCTCCACCAGAAAAGTTACACTGTGCAACTTTAACTGATTTTGGGTTATTTTGGACACATTAGGCATTTTTATATTAGAACTTAAACTGATGTTCTTTATGTGTGGTCAAACAAGTAAAAACATTTAATCCTTTATTTAGATCAGGGGTTCTTAACCCTTTCAATCTCAGGGCCCAACTTTGTTTGAACCAAATAACCTGGGGCCCTGTCTCATATTAAATGCATTATATTGTACTGATTGTGGGGCCCCAAAGGAGGTGGTTCTGGCCCTACTTTGGGTTCCGGCCCTATGGTTAAGAATCACTGATTTAAATCATACAAAACAGCAGCATATTGTCAGAAGAAGGTGCACTAAGGAATGGAATCAGAGGGGCTGATGGTGCAGATTGACAGCCTTGTTTCTGTCAGTCTGTCCCAGGGCAGCTGTGACTACTATAATAGCTTATCACCACCAAGTGTGGAGTGAATGAATAATGCTCTGTAAAGTGTTTTGGGCGTCTTGAAAGTGTTCTGGGCGTCTTGAAAGGCACACATATATGTGTAAAAGTGTGATTCCTTAATGAATTCATCAAAACACTGAGCAGCACTTGATGAATTACCACCTAATTAGGGGTGTGCCAAAATATTGAAATATCGATATATCGTATCATTTAGTGTGATGATACAGTATTGATATTGGGGACTGCTGTATCGATATATCACTATGAGTATTTTTTGGTATATTTTACTGCATTATTTTGTTACAGCGCTACAGTTTTGTTACTTGTTTAGAGGACGGAAACTCGTTTATGCAACACATTTGACATAGTCACTGTTCTGATGATTAAAATGGACATAATGATGATTAAAATGGACATAGCTAGCCACCTTGTGCCAAATAGGAAGTTCGCCAGGAGGCTCTTCCGGCTCCTTCTGACCCTGGCCCCAAATAACTTCCACTGGGATCTTGTCGCTCCTCTCTCTGTAACTGCTGCAGTGAGGCTCATCATTTTGGTCTTAAAATCGTATTAACCCGCTCTACATGATTGTGAATTTTTTCCCGCTACTTTGTCCATCAAATAAATCCTATTCATAACATAGAGCCTGGCTCCAGATTCCCTCCTGTAACCTTTCACATCGGGAGCCTCATTTGAGTGGCGCTGAACGCTGTGGGTGATGTCACACTCACTTAGTCCACTTCTTTTATACGATCTGTGGTTTCATATTCACTTTGCACAAGAAGTGGTTTAACAAAGACTTTTAGTATCACAGCCATGATTTAGCCTTTATTTTTTATTGAACCGTATCGAATCAATTTGAAATATATCGTATTAAATCGAAAGTGCACTGTATCAAGATATGTATCGTATCGTGGCCTATGTATCGAGGTATGTATCGTATCACCTTCATAACTTCTTAATGAAAACCTGATGATGACATAAAGTGAAACTAACCCGTTTTAATCTCTGGGGAAGATACTTGACTAAGTATACTACAGTATATACATATTAGTGAAACTTTTTCCCCTTAGTAGTAAATGTGATTAAAACAGTTGTTCATATACTTTGAAGTGGTCGCCCATACACTAAAATACTTGGCATTTTCCAATTTCCGAGTTAGTTTTACTTTCTATGCAAAACCTTTTGTTTAGTTGATTTGTGGTAATGCAAACTGCTTCCAATGTGAGTGTGCTGTGAATATGCACATAGCCAGCCTCTCGGGGCTTCCACTGAAATAACATTCAAATCTCTTAGACGGCCTGAACAATACTTAATAAGGCCATGATAATAAGTATTAAAACCATTGGACCTGAAAGAAAACGTGAGACGATTCTTAATTATGGCGAAAAGGTGCTAGAAAGAGAAAGAGAAGTGGAATAGAATGGACACGAGAGCAATGAGCAGGGCTTTTAAAAAACATCACATGGGAGGTGGAGGGGAGGTGCAGGGGGAGATGGGGCGATCGAAATAGGGACACAGATTGAGATGGAGAGAGGTGAGAGAGAAATTCGCCTAATTCGCCGCACTCATATTGAAAAGTGGTGGGGGACGGGCGGTAATCACATGACCCCTGCTGTGTTTTTGGTCAGCGCTGATCTCCCTCCCAAGAAAACCACGGGAGTCTCAATAAAGGCACATATTATCAAGAGTCTGACCATAAATCAGCACGTGTTTCTACAGGATGGATAGACGGTTTGAGAATATAGGGTTTTGTTCACTTGTTATAATAGCATTTAAAGGGTCAGACAGAGTAATAAAGCAGGATTACTCAAACAATGTGTGAATGAAACAAAACACAACTCCAGGTTTGTTTTTGATGAGGTAACAGCATTATAACATGGTTTAGAGCTCACAACAGTTAATTTTGCGTAATATAGGATCTTTAAGTGCAATTAATCAAATTTCTGTTGAATCGAGATCCAGTTATTTCATATTGTCAGTCATCAAATGCTTTCCGTGGAGATGCTATTGGGTCCGGTCAAGTGGTAACGGAGGGAAACAGGGGCAGATTTTTGACATTCAAATGTCTCTTATTCAGAAACTAGAGGGACTATTGAAATAAGTAAAGTATCAGAATGTAGGAAAGAGTTACACTCCAACAGGGTCAAGTTAAACCTGCGATATTCTTTCAAGTTGTTGACAAAAAATTTTAAAACTCATGTTGGTAACGGAGGGAATGAAATATGCAGCACTTTTTGGTCAATAAATACAAACAGTGATAACTAGTGGTTCTCACTTCCATATCCTTAACAAACTGGTTTGAATATTTGCTTCATATAGTTTTCTACCATATGGTACAAGATTAGGTTGAAAAACCTCTTACTTTTTTATTTTTTATTAAGAAAGGTCATGGTAACGGAGGGAAAAGTAACAGAGGGAAAATTGTACAAGCAAGTAGAAGGTGCATGATTTTACATAATTTGTCACTTTTTTCTTCCGAATACTTTAATATTACTTCAAAATGAAAGGAAACTATTTCTATAAAATATGTCAGTCCTTCCAAGCAAATTTTTATCATTTTAAATAATAAAAAATAAATAAAAATCCTGTACCTTCATCAACAGTTCAAAGATGGAATAACACAAGATATGATGAAATACATCCATTTATTTACATGATTTGCAGGTCTTTGAAATTTGGGAAATAATTTTTGTTCCATGTTTCATACATGGTCTGTTTAAAACGTATGGAACTTTAGAACCAAAAATGGTACAGAAAAAAGGTCAACAGTTTCATAAACTAGAGTACATATGTATCTGTTCAATACATTTTTATATCAGATGCATGAACTTGAATTTTTGGCCTTGCTGTTTACTTCTGCATGACCGGGCCCTATTGCTTTGTTTGGAATGTTTCACAGTATGGTATTAACGGTAACCTTTGTATCTTCATGGAGACTAAACCAGACCAAATTACAGGTCAGATCTATGGATAGACAACCCCTCTCACAGTCAGAATGCCTGTTTTTCTAGGTATTTTTGAGCTATAAAACCACCCGTAATTGAATAAATGTCAGGTAGAGCTGTTTAATGTCATACCGTGGAAAAGTAAAGTGAACCTAAAGTCATATAGTGCAGTGTTTTTTTTTCTGGGGACCCATACCCTATTTGGACATTAAATGTAGCCCATTTCTTTTTCTTTTCATTCACCTGAACCAAAATAGTCAATAGATAATTATGATTTAAAAAAAGATAAGACATTATACAAAACATGTCTTAACATTTCAACATTTCTGATGAGATGGGTGGGCCTGTCTGTGTTTTTGTAGTGCGTTCCAGTCCGGGTGCAGGGTCTAAGCAGAACTGAATATAACTGAATATATTGTGACAAGGTGACCCACAAAAAATGATGTAGTGGTTATCATATTTGACTGACTCTTTTTGTTTTGTGCCCAAACAGATTGCTGCTTCAGAAGGACTACAGCTTCTTGAGAGACATAAACATTTGGGGTCCCTTCGTCACTATCGGTGTCTACTCCTCCACTCTGTCCGCCGCCATGAGCAACCTGATCGGAGCCTCGCGCATCCTGTACGCCCTGGCCCGTGATGACCTGTTTGGTACGTAACTATGCACTGAAGAGAGAGAGGAAGAGCCAAAAGTGCCCCTCCTCTGTGTCCTTCAGCATTAAGGCAGCATCTAGGGAGACCCAGGTGAACGCAACAGGACAGGACTTCGCTCTGGTGTTTCAGTTGGTGAAGAAATTGTTCTTTTCTTTTGGAAGGTCTTCTGCCACATTTGCATCTCAAAGGTCCATAGCGAGCTCCATAGCTAGCCTCTTGCACGGTCTCCATGGATACTGTCACAGTCCAGCAGTCCCGTACTTGTGTCCTTTGAACTGCACAAGCTGTACTACTTAAGATGCGTTCAGACCGGGGCGTCAAGGCTTCCAGTTTACATGCAAAGTCTGTGTGGACATGCGACGTCAAGCTTCAGCGTGGCGAGAATCTGGCATTGACGATGCGTGTCTTGAGCGTTCAGGCATCGCCGCTCTGGACGCGCAACTAATTCTGAACTAAGGCTGATCTAAATGAAATACGGTTTAAAATGGTCTTACCACGTGATAATACACAATACAGTCATTTCAATAATTAACATAAGTGCGTCACATTCTAAAACCGACTGTAGGCCCATTGTACAGAAAAAGTACCTTGTTCAATAGTAGCTGTTACAGGTCTTTGTGTATAGACTAAGTGAAAATCCAAAGTGCAACCATTTTCCTTTTTATCTGTAAATGTCCCTGTACTATACGTGTTCCATATACGGCATAATTCAGCAGGTATAAAATTACACAAGCTTCAGTGTGAAAAACTCGTAATATCATGTAGAGATGTTGTTTTTTTTTGTACTGAACGTAAAATGGAGTACTCTTGTTAAAGCACAGGCAAATTCAGTATGAAAATCGTCGTACACTGTGAGGTACGTGTCACGCTGTTAAAATCTCCAAAATTGTGATAGCAATAATTTTATTGTATTTTCTAAATCCTTGGGTGTATACTAGTTTACTCTAGGTCTTATACTTGTTCTGATCATTCTAAAACTAATCACTAAGGTTCATTTCTGTTCTGGCAATGTGACTTTTTTAGTATCAACACTTGCTAAAATGAGCATATAGTTTTGATTCTAGTTTCAGTATCGATTAGTATCAGATTTCAGACACTTTTTTGACAGCCCTTGCTCACACATTACATCACAAATTTGAGTCTTAACTGGGTCAAAACTTGAAACTAAACTTGGACTTGACCAGGACTAAACCAGGACTAACAGGACCAAACAAAGTCTGAAAAGGAGGATATGCGCTGTTAGAATGCTAGTTGTTGTTAACATTACCATTTTCTCATTGAAAAAACATAACTTGAGTTGTGTTTTTTTTGTTTGTTTCTTGTTTTTCATTTACACATGTTTAACTCTTCCCTTAAAAAGAAAACAGTGTTGCACCTTGCGATGTCATGATGAACTCCACTGTTTTTTTAAGGGCCTGTTTACACAAGAATGCTTGTTGGTAAAAACGACAAAGTATTTTATCAGAAGTGCCTTTCATTTAGACGGTGACGGTGTTTTTGGAGGCTTAAAAACGCAAAAATCTGAAACCATCCTCCAGAGTGGAAAAGTTGAATACAATCTGCCGTAGTGTTTCCATCTACACTGTCCAAGATGCAAAACTCTGGCCAGATCTGCTCACGTCGTGTACGCGTTTACGTCGCATACATCACCACCTAGCGTCACCAGCGAGCCGTCTGGCATGCATACTCAATCCAATTCCACACACTTTTGAGTCACCGTATGCACGCAGATTTCCTCCCAAAAACACTTGTCTAAACGCAGAATAAAGAGTGAAGACGCGGTAAACGGACAGATGACATCAAAGGAACAAAAAAATATATGTGGTTGTTTGTTGCTGATTCTGCTGGTTGCAAGCGAGAAAACAACCAAAAAATGGATGAGTGACAAACTACCGAATCTGGAGGACTGGATTAACATTGTGGAAGACGTTTCAAAAATGGAAAGACTGATACTCACACAAAGATTGGAATACGACAGGTGTGAGGGAAGCTGGAAACCATGGAAAGACTTTATGAACATCCAAACATTAAAAAAAAATTAAAATTTACAATACTATCATGAGAGATATGTGAAGTGAAAGAAGGACGAAGGGGGGGAAAAAAGCAAATTGTTTTTACATTTGTCATCTTTATTTGACTGTCAATAAAAATTTGAATAAAAAAAAAAAGTGAAGACGCAACGCTACTTTTGCGTCTTCTGTTCAGACCGTCGTCATATAAACATATCCTAAATCCATACACCTTTGCTAGAATCATTTAGGTGGTTTTAGAATTGTCAGTCTCGAGTAGGGATGGACATTCGATGAAATTTCATTAATCGATTGTTGGAATTGATCATCATTATTGTCACAACTAGTCTGTATAAATAAATTCAACTTTACAACATATAAACCATCACCACTCTAGAGCCACATCAGCCCGTTTGACATTAGAATGTGTTTAATGCAGCTTTGTGCAACTCTCACAGAAACAAAACTTAAAACTGCATGGCTAATTTGCATAAACTAAGCGAAGAAAAAAACAGCTCTTGTGCGCTGATGCGGTCAACTTCTGTCAGACTAAAGGACACGACTAAGTGGAATACAGGTTAGTGTGACCATATTTGAGTTTGTCAAAACCAGGACACTGTACGGGGGGGGAGGTGGGGGCTCGTCATTCACATTGAGCTACTCTCACCTGGCAAAACTTTTTAATGTTTTTCGGTGTCCTGGTGAACTTTGAGGTTCCTGGCACAGTCACTGAACACCGAAACATATGTGCCTGCTTTGTACACTCTGCACATGGCCTCCCACTTGTTTCGACCGGGACAAAAAGCGGGGAATTTCTGGTACAAGTCATCGTTAAATGCGCATTTGCACTTCTGCATGTTGCAGGCTGACCGACTGTTTGTGTCTGCTCTCTCCCTCTGAGTTACAGAGCTACGAGTGACGCTCAATTTAATGACCCAATGAAAGATCATGAAAACCTGAACATTTGCATCACTTAATAGAAAAAAAAAACAGACGGCCAGGACAGGACGTGAAAATCCGGGGAAAAACAGACGTTTGGTCACCCTACAGTACGCACAGCAACCTACATTTGGTTTGTCGATTAAAAATGAACATAATCGACGAAATTCTTAATGATCAGTTATCGATTAATCGACTAATCATGCCCATCCCTAGTCTCTAGTGAACAAAAGATAAAAGGAGCTGTTAACTTGAAAACTACTGCTACATGACATCACAAGGTGGACAGAGCATTTTGAGGTTTGCAGATCCAGATAATGCAGGATTACTCAAACATCTGTGAATAAAACAACAACAAAACAACTCCAGGTATGTTTTTGATGAGGTAACAACATTATAACAAGTCTTAAACCTCACAAAAGTCAATAGTGCGTAATAAATGATCTTAAATCACTCTCAGACAAGTTACAGACAGGTGACGAAGGAGTAGGAAATCCAAACTTTGGCAGATTTTACGCTACTACAGTTTTAAATTAACTGTAATTAGATCTCCACTGGTTCACGCCAAATGAACACTGTGCCTCATGCCGTCTGCTCCTCTTATTATTAATATCTTCTCTTTCGCTCTCCTCTTTTTTTTGTCACGTCCATTTCAGATGGCTACTGTCCATGTGTGTGGACCAGCGTTCATGTCAGAGGAGATAAATGGCTGTATTAGCATATTGCCTCTTCCGCAGTAGGGCAGCTGGCTCCTGTTCTCTTCAGCAGCCACAGGGTTAACCTCGATTAGATAAATCTTCTTAATTGTGATTCACTGTCCGGAGCGCTGTGAATGTGGAATGTGCAGCTAAGGATAGTAGAGTGAGTGAATTGATAATAAGTTGTTGCATTTGAAATTGTTCGTGCAGACGCTGACTAGGATGACCAGATGTCCTCTTTCCCCGGACATGTCCTCCTTTTGGGACCCAAAAAAACGTCCAGGAGGAATTTCTAAGCTTACGTTTATATGATGACGGTCTGAACGAAGACGCAAAAGTGGCATCGCGTCTTCACTTTTTATTCCGCGTTTAGTCAAGCGATTTTGGGAGGGAATCTGCGTGCATACAGCGACTCAAAAGTGTGTGGAATTCAACTGGGTATGCATGACATGCGACTAGGTGGTGACGCTAGGTTTGATGTATGTGACGTAAACACATACGCGACGTGAGCAGATCTGACCAGAGTTTTGCGTCTTGGGCAGTGTAGACGGAAACACTACAGCGAATCGTATTCAGCTTTTCCACTCTGGAGGGTGATTTCAAATTTTTGCATTTTTAAGCCCCAAAAACGCTGTCACCGACTAAACAAATGGCACTTCTGATAAAATATTTTGTTGTTTTTACCTGCAAGTGTTCTTCTGTAAACAGGCCCTCAGTTATTCCAAAATGTCCGGGATTTTGACTCTGTACCAGTTGGCAGCTTTGCATGGGGGTCATCTGATCAAATACAGTCATCTGCAATAAAATCTTGTACTTCTTATACTTATATCAGATTATAGTTCCATGGACACAATCCTCGGTGCTTCTGCAACACCCCCTCCTTGCTCTCGTATGCTCCAGACCGCTCCTTTAATCAGAAAATGCACGTTCATTTATTAAGCATATTACGAAGTCACATTAGCGACTGTAAGAGGTTGGATGTCATAATGCACTTTACAACACTCCCCTGAACACCCCTGATGCACATTATATCACACAGTTACAATATTCAATACAAACACCAACAAAGTACAAACTATTTTGTTTTGCCCCCAAACCAGGTGTCGTCCTTTGTGATGACCCTGATCTGGTCACCCTAACACTGACTGGACTAGACTGGTCATTGACTTTCTGGTGCTGATTCTGGACTACACACTACTTCAGGCTCTTCTGTAAAGTCATTTTTAATCAAATTAAAGAATCTAATTTGGAAAATATTTGCATTCATTGAGTAAAAAAAGATCTAATAAAAATACATCAAACTGAAGACATTAAGGTGGATGGTTTTGCTTTGGCAATTTGAAATGGTAAT